TATTTATTTGATTATGCACTTCAGTAAATTGCGAGACTGAAATGGTCGGGCCGAAGGCCCGACCATCGCCGCCGGCAGGCCAAGCAGGCCCGGCCCCTGCCGAACGGAGTTGCCGGCGCAGCGAAGTGGAGCTGGCAACTCCGTTTGGCGGAAGGGCGGGCCTGCTTGTTTATTTTCCTCCCTTTCTCTCTCTCTCCCCCGGTGTGTCAGATGGGGGTTGAGGTTGACTGCCGGCCTACGCTGAACGCGCACAGGGGGATGGCTTGGCTGGCTGCAACAGCTGTTGGCTGACGTCACGACGCACATGTCTACCAACATTTTTAGTGACAATTTATGTCTTCTGCTTCTCGAGTGACGCGCCGTCGTGCCGCTCTGTTCAAATTGACTTTGATGTTGTTGGGTTGGTTTTTTTTTTCGGCAGGGAGTGGAGAAATCTTTTTCTCTGCGTATATACCGGCTACGGAGTTTGGGGTTAGGGTCACGAGCCGAAGTCTTTGTCCAGTATCGTATCGTGTGTGTGTACGTACACTTTTGAGGGAAAGCGAGGGAAATGGAAAGACGTATTTCCGCGGGCGGCGGAGCGTTCCTCGCCCGTCGCGAGGTTGGTTGTGCGATGTGACACAGCGCCTCATTGTGTCAGTGTGCGAAACCTGTCCCGTGCGCGAAACCTGTAAGCGTATGCAGTGTTTGGCAACGTTCTGTAAAGTATGTATATATATGTAGTGGTTCGCTGCACTGTTTGTGCTTTGTACGCGCTGCTTCCGCTGCGCTATGCCGTGCGCGCCTAGCCGTGCCGCGCCATGTGTTCGGAACGTTACACATATTTTGGTCCAGTGAACTGGAAAGCCCGCGCGCTGGCGGTCGTAGGTCCGCCCCGGCGTCATGGCCTCTGAGCGCACCGTGTCGGGCGAGCCCAGGGAGCCGGACCGAAACTCTTAGCAGAGCGCACCCAGCGCGGGGCAGGGCGCCCGGAGAATCTTTTCTTCGACCCCTCCACCCTCGCCCCCTCGCCGTCCCATCCCCCTCTACCTTCCCCTCCACCCGCGCTCTCTGCTGGAAAAGTGTTCTCGGGGCTGCAATGAGGGTGTCCGGGGCGGGGCGGGGGGAGAAATTATGGACGTTATATTCAGCAGCGGGTGAATGTATGACCGGGGGAGGGGGGGGCTCCGAGTGGGGCCGGAAAAAAGAGCATTGCGCATGTTTGGTGGTGCGCTTGCAGTATTTGAAATGGAGATTTTTGGCGCGCGCAAAGTGTGCTTCGTCCGCTGCAAAAAGGGCGCGGCGGGGCTGGCCAAGCGGACGCGCGGCGATGGTGGCGAAACTCCCCCGTGAAAAGTCGTTGTCGACGGACTGTTCGTCGTCAGCGCGCTCGCTTTGCGTCTCTCTCTCTGTCTTGCACGTTGAGCGGTTGGCGGAGGTGAGGTTGAGAGCTCCGGGTGTTCAGCGCAAAAGGGCCAGCTTCGCCAACTGAAGTTCGCGCGGCGTGGGGGTTGCTTGACGTTCACCCCCGCGGACTGCCCCGCTCTTGGCTCGTAACGTACGCCCGCCTGCCGCGAAATGGCCAACGAAACGATTTAACTCTGAACCGTTGCAAAGTCTATTCAACTACGAAGCAATTTCGTCAATCCCCGCCGTGTCGAGCCATATGTGTGTGTGCGTGTGTTAGTGTGTGCTTGGAGAGAGAGGGGGAAGAGGGGGGGTCGCGGCCGTTGCCCCCGAGGAACCCCTCTGCTCTCCCCTCTCCTCCTACCCTCCCTGTCCCCCTGCCTTACCCCTTTGCATGTGGCGGTACGGCAGAGGGGTGGGGTGAGGTGAGGCGGGGCGGCCTCAAGTCCCCCTGGAGTGACGGACAACAGCTGTTCTCGGTCTGTGTGTTATTTAAATGAACGCCACACGTGGAGCGTGTGAATGACGTGCTTGTGTATGTGTGTCGCATGTGAGGTTGTGTGAGTGTGTGTGTGTCTGCAGCCGGAGCTCACAGAGCTGCTGCTCCACTCGAGTGAAGTGCAAGTCCGCAAAGTCTACAATGACGAGGGCAGGTGTCGGAGCGAGCGTTGACCAGAGAGGTGTGCCGCGGACGGAAGGGGCTGGGGGTCGCCGCCGGCAGGATCGAGTTACAGAAACAGTTCTGCGGGCCTCCGTCGGATAGGTACGTACCGGGTGGGTACCCGGATGAATTCGCTTGTTCGAGTGGGTTCCTGTCTGGGCTGCGGGGGCGCGGGCAGGGGCGGGGGCTGAGGGGGCCCCGGGAGCGCTGGCGAGGCAGGGGGTGGCGCATGCGTCCCGGCTAGGGCTGGGGCCGCGGCCGGGCTGGGCCCGGGAGGGCGCGGGGGCTGGGCTGGGGCTGGGCTCGGGGGCCCTGGCGCGCTGGCCGAGGGGTGGCCGTCGAGGGGGTGGGGACGGGACGGGGCGATCAATACGGCGGGGGAGAGCGGCCGCGGGGCCGCGGGGGGCCTGAGTGTCCTGGGGCCCGCCGCTCAGGACGGTCGTGTGTGCGAGTCATGCCCGCCGGCCTCGGTCCCACCGCGTTGTGCTGGTCCTACTCCCCCCTGTCGCTGCCGCTGGCGCTGCCCCTGGCACTGCCGCTGGTGCCGCTCGGCGTGCACGGCGTGCCCGCCGCCGTGGTCCGCACCCTCTCGTACTCCCGGTTCGCCGCCGCCCCGGGGCCCCGCCGGCCCCGCCCCGTGGTGGGCCCCTGCTCCGACCAATACCTCGACCTCGGCCCGTATGTGTTTCGCTGCTGGGTCGTGTGCCCGCCGCCCTGCCCGCCCCTCGGCCCGCCCCTCGGCCAGCCCTGCCCGCCGTACCCAGTGCTGCCCGCCATGGAAACCAGGAGTGCCAGGTAGGCAACCGGCCACATCGTCGTCGAGCTGGGCTGCGCCCCGCGGGGGGTTCCTCTCTCTCGCTTCACTCACTCTCGCCCCGATCTCTCTTCCTAGTCGTCCGCCCTATTGTCACCTTCCTCTGACGCCTCTGCCCCGTCATGGTGCTGATGGAGAAGAGCCCGGCCGGCCGACGGGAGGGCGAGCTTCACGATGATCAGGGTGGAGCCCCGCCTGCAGCCGTAGACCACGTGTTGCCCGTTGGACGCATTATTTGGCCGTGTTTGTGCAGCAGAGCGCGTGTGGGGGAGGACGGCTCCCACGCCGAGAGAGCGCCTAACGGCCAGACGACTTTTATTTTGTGACACAATCTGCGATTCGTCGTTGGGCGCGCGGGGCGTGGCGCGGGGGTGG